TTTAACCCCTTCCTCTCTCCAGAGCCGGCAGGAGGGGGACCCTGAGGGTGGGGGCACCCTCAGGGCACTATAGTGCCAGGAAAACGAGTATGTTTTCCTGGCACTATAGTGGTCCTTTAAGTCTGGCCATTCTAAGGTCCGGTTATACGTTATCCTTAGTCCTAGGTGTGACACAGTTCTGCATGCTGGATCAACTTGTAATCCTGACACCTAGCACATCACACCCGAGGAAGATGATTGTCGAAACACGTTGTGTGGCTTGCTACTCAGCAGGAGGAAGGACTTTGGATCACATAGCTGCCCCTCCATGCTTTATGTGGCTGTTTATTTTCTCTTGTATTTTTTATCTTTAATAAATTGAATTTTATTTACTCTACCACCTACTACTACTATGCTGCATGTATAAAGCCTAATGGTGGCTCTAAATCATGTGAGTGGTCCCTAAACCGAGCTGTTATGCTCATATACTTTACAGATCACCCTACATTTTATCTCTCTGTTCTCAAATCAATTGATCTCTTCTGTATAACAACTTTATTTATACATACTTAAGTACCGTATTTTTCGCTCCATAAGACGCACTTTTTTTCCCCTCAAAAGTGAGGGGAAATGTCTGTGCGTCTTATGGAGCGAATGTGAACTTGCCTTACTGGTGTTGTTTAGCTGCACTTATATTGGAATACTTTTCACCACTGTTTATTTTGTACCTCTTGAAGCAGTTTAAGTAATGCAGTGAGCCTTTTGCAATTAGTGTTAATATTGGAGTACTTGGAAGTACTTGTGGCCTAAACACAGTATGTGTTTACATATATATATATATACACACATACATATACACTAAGATAGCTAATTTTAAAGGGAGACTCCAGGCACCCAGACCACTTCTGCCCATTGGAGTGGTCTAGGTGCCAACTCCCACTACCCTTAACCCTGCAAGTGTAATTATTGCACGCTATGTGAGGACCTCCAGCGTCGGCGAAATCCCCATAGGAAAGCATTAAATAATGCTTTCCTATGGGGAGGTGTAATGCGCGTGCGTGGCCATTGCTGCGCATGCGCATTAGGTCTCCCCCATCGGCTGATGTCGTTGGGGAAGGAGAGTAGGTGGAGAGTAGGTGGAGAGTAGGCGGAGCATGACCAGCGCCGAAGGACATCGGCGTTGGACTCCAGTAAGTCACTGAAGGGGTTTCAACCCCTTCAGCAACTTGGGGTGGGGGGTGGGAGGGAGAGGCGCTCTCCAGGATCCTGCAGTGCTAGGAAAACTAATATGTTTTCCTGGCACTGGAGAATCCCTTTAAGGAGCCTTTAGTGAGAAACTGATCTGGAGCCAAGCTGGATTAAGGTTGCCCAGGGCCCTTGACCGAATACCAGATTGGGGTCCCTGGTCCTGGTCCTGTGAATGGGTGTTTGTGTAGGTGATTGAGTGTTGTGTGTGAAAGTGTGTAGTGGCTGACTGTTGTGTGTGCTGGTTGAATGTTGTGTGTGTGGAGTTGGTTGAGTGTCATGTGTGTATGTGGTGTCTGAGTGTGTTAGGGAAGGAAGATGAGTGTTTTGGGAGTTCTCTTTTCTGCCTCTTTATCTGCCCCAATGCTCTCTCTATCATTCCACTTGTTCCTCCATTGATCAGCCTCCACTTGTCTGCTCTCCAAACTCTCTCCCTCTTCTCACAAACCTCCCTCTATCCCCCCTGTCTTTGCTGCGTTATGGTTAATCCAGTCTGTTTGGGGCTATTTTCTGATAGCCAAATATACTATGGAAACCTCTAGAGAAGTTAATTGTTTTATGTTAAGTTAAGAATGTTTGAGAAACTATGCTATTCTTCTGATCCTAACTCTGTAATGTTGAGTAACTGACTGCGCTTAATGCCATTTCTTAATTGTCTTACATGGAAAGTGACAGATTAGATTTCACAACATCTAAGTTCCGAAAACAACGCATTACTTTATACTGCTATGTTAAATGATGTTTTTCATCTAATTAGAGGTCATGTTTCACACAACATAGAAATTTCAAACTGCTGTGGTAGAAGACACCCATTATATATAATAGTACTGGGAGGATTAATTCATTTTCCTCTATGTTATGATTGCATGTTAGTAATAATGTCTGTTTCACTCACGACATAAACTACTTTAATTTCTTAGCTACTGTGGCACACTTTTGAATTTCTTATATTACATAAACATTTGTGTTTCTCTTGGTACAAAAAGGGTTTAACAGGAAACTGGAGAGTAACAAATGAGTATCCAATGGGTACAAGTACAACTTAAAGGGCTATTTTAGCACCAAAACAGCCCCTGCATTATCACTGCTCTCTGCCATTTAGGAGTTAAATCAATTTTGTTTCTGTTTATGTAGCCTCAGCCACACTCACACAAGCTGCATGAAAAAAATGGTCTAATTTGTAATGAGATGGGACAGCACAGGGTGTTTACTTTAGAGGGTTTTTTTTTTGTTTTGTTTTTTAATCTCCTGCTCCATTGAACTTTAAACACACACAGGAGGTTCCTGCAGGCTCTGGCAGGCAATTAACAGAGAAGGTGATAAGAGTGATGTGCAATAAAGGAAGTTTAACCCCTTAAGGACCAAACTTCTGGAATAAAAGGGAATCATGACATGTCACACATGTCATGTGTCCTTAAGGGGTTAAACATTAGAGCTCTCTTTACATGAAGTGTTGTAGGGATTATTCAGGGACAAAATATAACAAACGTTTTGTGAAAAATGTCATGTGTCCTTAAGGGGTTAAACATTAGAGCTCTCTTTACATGAAGTGTTGTAGGGATTATTCAGGGACAAAATATAACAAACGTTTTGTGAAAAATGTCATGTGTCCTTAAGGGGTTAAACATTAGAGCTCTCTTTACATGAAGTGTTGTAGGGATTATTCAGGGACAAAATATAACAAACGTTTTGTGAAAAATGTCATGTGTCCTTAAGGGGTTAAACATTAGAGCTCTCTTTACATGAAGTGTTGTAGGGATTATTCAGGGACAAAATATAACAAACGTTTTGTGAAAAATACGAAACATTTATAACTTTATTAATTTTAAAAGCATCTATGATTAATATGAATTTTAATATGGTGATATTGATTATTATTGGATCATGCAGACAATTTTTATTTAAAGAGATACCTACTATTTTATCTCTGATACTAAATTCTTGTAGTTCAACCTTAGGAAGATGTGCAAGTCACAAGCAGGGACTTGTAACGATGGCTGTCTAAACAAAGTGATTAAACTCCTAAATGACAGAGAATTGAGCAGTGAAAATGCAGGGACAAATGTTCCCTTAAGCTAAAAATGTTACTTAATAACAATAGAAATAAGCAAAATTGACAAACCGTGTGGCTACTATAACTAGTAATATGTTTGACTGTATCTTACAAACAAGGTCATTTTAGGATAATCATTGGGCCTAGTCAAAGCTTGAGTCCCCATCCAAAGGAGGGCTAATTTCCAATCTGGTTTCTAAATATCAGCAATATGTTGCTGTTATCACTAACAGACAGCAGATATTTCTGACCAAATAATACAGACGTGTTTCCACCTTCTGGGCCTGTCACTGTTAGCATCCCCCCATACAGATACCCTCCACAATTTAGCATTCACCTCTTAACTTGAATGTAAAGCACAACAACATGGTCCATCAAAGGCATCTCCATATCAACAATGGCTAGATGGTATTACAGATATTGGTGCTGGTTGAGATAAGAAATTATAAATCCAAATATAAATTATAAATAAAACACACACTCTCAGGTTACATTATACACTGCAGCAAATAGGTAAGAGCCTCCTATTGGATAGTTACTGCATGGGCGATTATCTTTCAACGGGCAACAAGTTATTTAACCCCAACTGATACAATGAGTAGCTTCTCATTTCTTAAACAACCATGTAGAAAGACACATCCCGTGATC